ACCTCAGTAGCTCATAAGTTCACGCCTGGCGTCCAAGTTCTATATGAGGAAGATCCCACGGGACCCAAGTCGATGCGCCTGGACACTCTCGCCTTTGGCCTTTGTCTTGGGTCCAAGTAATCACTTAGCGATGGGCCTTAATAAATACGTCTGAGAACTGTCCTTATGCTAGGTAAATATTGGATTAGCTTTTCAATGACCAAGCTCTTGAAAAGGCTTGAGAAATCCACACCAGGTCTCAACTAAGCCTAACTGTCAATAGGTAAGAAAAATAAGTTATTTCCTTGGCCTGGGGGTGGGGAGTGATGGGGAAGGGATTGTTCTCACTCCTCTGGAGTTATCTGATTCTTCTAATTATGACGCCACCATTAAACGAAGGAGGACACCGATTGGATTAATTGGAATTTCCACCAACTCGGCTCATTAAGGGGAACATGTCTGGATTCTACTTTGGCTTCCACAGCTCAGCGTGAACATTTGTTGGTTTTTTACAAACATACTGTTTATTTGGAGGTTGCTTATGGAGGATTTGACCTGGCTATTGTAAGGGAGCCGGAATGATCCAAACTATCTCCGACTGCCTGGTGCCAACTCAGACACTTAAAGAAGGTAAAAACGGGGGGGGGGGGGGGGCCCGGCGGCAAATTCCTTATAAACCAGACAGTGCTTTCTGTTACTGCATTTTGCAAACAAAAGGAGGTGGGAGACATTAAGAACGTAGGAGGAAATCTCTCCCTCCACCGTGGAGAGGTTATTGGAGGAAGTTTCTCAATGATTTTCCCTTGCACCCAGATGCTGGCACATCGCCTCAAAGAAATCCAAAAAACGAAGCATCACTCTCTAGCCGGGGGATGCAATGGATCTGACCCGTGTCAGTCGTCTTGTGAGAGGCCATGGCTACAAATGGTGCTGGGCCCGCAGAGGCTTTCAGAGAGTTTCTGGCCAGGAGTAGAAGAGTAGCTGTACCCTCGATGCTGGAACCAGAGGGCTGGATTTTCATCTACTCCGGAGTGGCAAACTCTGGCAGACACAGCACCCACCGGTCCCTGGGTACCCCAGATGGTCCAATGGCTTCAGCCTGGGTGCCCAAACACAAGCCTGGCCACCAGCTCTGTCACACAGCACTGCGAAGTGTGCCACCGGAGTCCTAACCCTGAAAGTACACATCTCACAGACCTGGCCCAAGCATCTGAACCAACATTTGATAGGAAAGGGGATGGGGGGAGAGATCCAGATCTCAGAGTCATGGGGCCTAGGCGGTGCAAGTGCCCTCTGAAGCCTTCAAAGACAGGGGTGGCTTTTTTCCCCTCCTCCACCCTCCTCCCCAATAGATATAGCACGAATTTTTAATGCGTCTTCCTTTCACAGACAACAATACAGGGTTTGAAAGCCGGACACAATTTGGGTTTTGTGCATGTCCCTCCTCGCGCTCCCTCGGCCCAGCTGGCCATATGGAATCCAGCATGGAGTCCGCGGATGACAAAGGGACCCAGTGACAGGCCCAACAAAACCCCAAGGAGACTTCTGCCTGACTCCGGGATTCACTGCCCGCGATAAGCGCGCTGAATGGTGCCGGGTGGGGTGGGGGGAGGACGGCCCCTTCTCCCTCTTCCCGTCTTTCTGTCCCCTACGATCTTTTCTCTGTCCCTTTTTAATATGCACGCCTCTAACATCTCCAACTCCCAGCTTTCCCATTGTGCCGTTTTGTGCGGCCTGCTGTAGATTGGGCGAAGATAGACTGCCGAAGCGGACCCTGCGCCGGGTGCGCTCCCAGGGCGCTGGGGTTAGGGCCACACAGGGCTCCGCAGGCGCTTTTATAGACTCCCGGAGGACACAGAGAGAGAGGAGAGGCGGCTCCAGGCCCACCTCTTGGGTCCCAGCCGCACGGGAGCGAGCATACCCAGACTGCAGACCGGTGGGCCTGGCCGTGTACCCAAATGCACTCTCAGCTCGCACACGCTGGAAACCTGCAGGAGTTGGAGCGTTCTGATCCCCGTCCTTCCTCCATCAAAGCCTAGAGAACCCCTGTGACTATTCTTGGCCCAGGAAGGGCTGGGGACGAAGATAGTCAAAAGCAACTCTGATTTTCTGGAGTTGAGACAGCACCTCAGCCTCCTACAAACCTCTGTCTGGGAACATACGCTTTCCCCCTAGATGGCTGGGGGCAAGAGACAGTTACACTTGGGACGGTGAGTGGTTGATATCCAGAGCAGGTTGGCCCCCGATTATTAGCCACAAATAATTTGGGGGAGGGGGAGAACTATATCTGTTTTTGTTTTCTTTTTTACAAATCCCCAAAGGTTCCCAAGCTGGTGCGGAGAACAAAGGCAGACTTTTTTAGCATTTAGGAAAACTGCCCTCTCCAACTGCTGAACCTGGAGATGGGAAAGGACCTGGAAGCGGATATTAGGAAGATTCCCTGCCCTCAATTATCCAGGGACCCGTGCGCAACGCGGGAATAAAGTGTAATCACGTCCCTGGGCGCGTTGCGCTGAGTGCTATTGACGCGCAGATTTGGTCACATGGATAATCATGTTTGCTTTAGATATTGAATTAAATCTGATCATCAACTGGAGGGAAGCAGAAAGTCATCAGGGACCGCTCCCTTCGCTCGGCCTCAGCGCCTCCCTCCAACCCCCTAGCCCTGAAGCTAGAGCTCCGCAGAAACCCAGAGTTACTATTTCCAAATGGGCTGATTTTCAATCTCTAGGCGTTTCAGCTCACCCGCTGGGCTCAGAGCCACAGAACCACGGGTATTTCCCCAAATCTGCGAGATTCAGGAGAAAGGTGACTCCCCAGTCTGTCAACCTCCCTCCCCGACGCTCCTCCAGGCAGCCAAGTGTGTGCCAGCATCCGTGAACCGAGGGCCGAGGCTGGGATGGAATCAACTCTCTGTTGAGGCGGGCTGCAACCTCCTAGGAAGAGCCCGGGGCTGTTTACCCATTTCTGGCTCCCCGGTACTTGAGCCCTTGGAGGTCTGGGCGTACCACCCCACCTCCAACCGCCACTATCCAACAGTTCGTCAAACACACAACCGCGCACCCCAGGGCTGGCCTGGTGAGGGGGACGCGTGGCACGCTCCACCAAACGCTGAGAGAGGACTAGGCAAAGGACCCAGTTCCTGGCTAGAGAGCTGGAAACCCTGGAAAGATAGGGGCATCGCCGAAAGGAAAGGCTGGTTGGCTGAAACTGTCAAGGTCTCCCGCTCCTTTGCGCTCTGGGATCCAAAAGCTTGGAGAGGTGTACAGCAACCCCACTGTCCCACGGTCTTCTGCACCCAGGACCCATCATGCCCGCCTCCCCACCCCCAGCCAAAGCCTCCAAACCCTCCTCTCCAACCCCCTTCACTCTTCCCCATCCGCGCCTAGGCCTTGGAGTGGGCTCCTGGGCCTCCACCCATCCAAAGATTTTGAAAAGGGGGTGGGGGTGGAGAGGAAGCCGAGCAGTGTCAACCTCGGGACCCCTTCCCCCGCCCCCCCCCCCCTTTTCAGCGCGAGGTAAATCAAACGCAACAAAGTGAAAGTCATCGAGTGTAGTGGCTTCAACAGCTTCTCAGGCTTGAAGGAGCCACTCGTAGATTTGGGCGGGCGAGGGGGGCTTGCTCTCCTCGCCTTTGCGCCTTTGCCTTCCCCAAAGTCACGGTTCCTTTTTAGACTAGGGCGCTGCTGCTGGGAGATTCAGACAGCCGAGAAGCCCCAAGGAGAGGCACGAAGATCAAGGGCCATCCCCGAAGATCAAGGGCCATCCCCGACTCCTGACCAACCCGCTAGCAGGCTGGAGGCCGAGCTTTGGAGCTAGGGCCCCCGGGTCCTAAGCTCCGAGTGCAGCGGTGGTCAGTCCGGTGCGGCCTGGTGGGGAGCTCCTCCAGCGTCCCAGCCCAGAGAGGAGCACTGCTTGTCGCTCTTTGGTCAGAGGTTTCCCGCCCCCAGCAGGACGACAAAGTTGACAAACGGGAGGGTTGTGCTTGTTTTCATGTTGTTGTTGTTTTTTTTAAACACAGGATTTTTATTAAAATTCTTATTTAAAAAAATCGAAAGCTTTCGGCGCCCGGCGCTCTGGAGCAAGGAGGGGAGAACCGTGCTGACCAGCTGAGTTCTAAATTCTGGGGCTCAGAACCCCAGAAAATGGGGCTGAGGGCTTTTCGCCTACGTACTTTTTTTTTCCTTTTCCATATTTGAAAACTGTTCGCACGGAACAAAATAAAATAAAATAAAAAGAAGAGAAGAAGAAAATGGGGGGGGGGGAGGGGGTTAACCCAAACATAATCGAACCAAAACAAACCACAAAGAAAGGAGTCGGGCCTGGAGAGGGACAGGCCCATTCTGAATGTCATTTTGGCACCGCACCACCGATATTTACAACGAAAAAGCGAAATCTGCCACCAGTTGTCAGAACGGTTTACATGGCCATAAATATTGAGCATTTTCTTATTTTTTTTTAAAAAGGGAGAGAGAAAGGGAGAAGAAATCCTCAATATCTTTCAAGTGTCCCCCACTTGCTTAGACGACTGACAATAATATAGCTACTCACACCAACATATTATACAAAATTCACGAAAGCGGGGCGGAGTGGGGTGGGGGAGCTTGGATTTTTCTCTTTTCAAGTGATGAAGTTGAACGTTGGGATGTCCCCCCCCTCCCCCAGGCAAAGAAGCGAAGCTGCGCAAACCTTCTGTAAACACGGCTTAAAGTTCAACCCTCTCCAAAGGTTCAAAGGAAGAGGGCTGGGGGCAGAGTCGGACGGCTGGAATCTGCCACTCCCAAAGTGTGTGTGTGTCTGTAGGGGTGGGGGGACGCGGGCAATCTCTCTGCGCCTCCCCCAACTGGAGCCGAGAGTCAACTCGACTCTAATAATAATTATAATAATAATAATAATAACCCATCGTTCAGGACCCAGTTCTCCTTGCCGCCACCGCCGCCGCTGGAGTGGAACCTGGGCCCGGGGCGGGGGGTGGGGGCTGGAGGGGTAGGGGGTGGCCGCGAGTCTCGGAGGGGCGGCGCTCACCAAGTCCACTGCTGGGCCTGGACCAGGGGGTGTGCTGTCGGGTACTGGGGGGTGCTGGCCGAGCTGTACTGAGCGTTGTATTGCATGTGCTGCAGCGATTGCGCGCTGTAGGCCGAAAAAGGGATGCCTGCCTGGAAAGTGGCGGCGGCCAGGTCCTGGGCTTTGAGCGCATGGCACGGTTTGCCGTCCCTGACCAAGACGGGCACGGCTACCCGACGCGGCGAGGGCAAGGGCGTCACCTCCATACCTTTCTCGGCTCGGGCACGCTTCATTTTGTAGCGATGATTCTGGAACCAGATCTTGACCTGCGTGGGGGTGAGGCGGATGAGACTGGCCAGGTGCTCGCGCTCGGGCGCCGACAGGTACCGCTGCTGCCGGAAGCGCCGCTCCAGCTCGTAGGTCTGCGCCTTGGAGAAGAGCACCCGCCGCTTCCGCTTCTTGCCCGCGTCCCCCCCGCCGCCGGGGGTCTCCTTGTCATTGTCCGGTGACTCGTCAGCCGAGGGCTCAGGGGACTTGGAGCTGGAGTCTTGAGGGGGTGCGCCAGCCGCCAGCCCGTGCACTGGGGAGGGAGAGGGTGGAAGGAAGCGCATCAGGCGTTTGGAGGCCCAGGGCCTGGGGGAGGGGGGTGGCGGCGCGGGGGGCGCAGACCTCTAGCACCCGGGTTTCCTCGGTTGGGGCCTCTAGTCCTGTGCCAACCTGGCTGGCTTTGGTCTGATCCTCTGCACTCCGGAGGAAGCCGTTGGAGTCGCCCAGGGTTTAAAAAAAAAGGGGGGGGGGGAGAGAATCAACAGGAGTAAGGGCTTGGGGATTTTTGGAGGGGTTCGCTCCCGTAGGGGTGCAAATTTGGTGGGGAATGGAGCACGGGGGGGAGATCATTGAGGGTTAAGGGCTCCGGCCTCCTTAAACTATTTCCTCTCTGGAGAGACGTGGGCAGATTTTCAAAAAGAAAACCTCCACAATCCCAGCATTGATCGTCGCAACCATTTAAGGCAGGTTTTCTTTGGGGGGGGGGCTTTCTTTTTTTTTCTTCTTCTTCCAGGCTTTCTGGACACCCCCCAGCACACCGCACAAAGCATCCTCTGATGATCGCGCAGCGGGGGCAGGGTGAGCTACTTATACCCGGGCCACCCGAAGCCTCCCCCAACCCTTTACCCGGAGCCGGACCAGACTCACTGGCTGGCTCCAATGTGCGCCAGGCCAGTCCCTTCTGTGGTCAGAGAGTCCAGGGTCTCCGGATGAAGCTATCGGTTGGCTTGACATCTGCCATCAGCCCTTGGAAGACATTTCCCTTCTCTGTCTCTTTAACTTCTCAAGTTGGGGGGGAAAAATCTTTGGCCAGGGCGGGGGGGGCGGGGATGGAGGGTTTGGGGGTGAAAGGAGGAAAGAGGCTATTCTAAACAAGTGTTAGCGATCTTCCTTGGGACCCGGAGTGCGGGTCTCCGGTGAGCTTCAAGGCTCCCTCCCTCCCCACCCCCAACCCCGGTGTCCAGCCGGGGCTGCAGCCGCAGGGCTGGAGGTAAGAATGGGCGGCGGCGGCTCCGTTTCGCTACTTACGGGAATACTGGAGGCCCTCGGTGCTGGCCAGCCAGCGCGTGTAGGGGTTGTCGCTGCTGTCGTAGAAAGGGCTCTTCAGGGGCAGGCTCGGCACGGCGTCCAGGGCGCCCTGCCCCAGAGGCCCGACTCTCTTGGCGGGTTCCGGCCCCTCGTTCTCCTCCTCCGGCCCCTCGGTAACCGAGCCCTCCTCATCATTGGTATCCGGCAGGTCCAAGATGTCCTTGACCGAAAATCCCGTCTTTGTGTTGGTCAGCGACATGGTTGGGCACCCCGCAATGTATGCCGTAAAGTTGAGCTTCACTTGGTCAATTCGTGGCGCTCCCCAGCCCCGGCGGGCGGGGGAGGGTCGGGAGGGGAGGGGGATGGGCCTCAATTATGGGGGGGGGAATTATTATTTCAAAGAAAAAATTGAGGTGAACTAAACACACACACACACACAACAGTGACGGGAAGAAAGGGAAAGGGGCGCGGGGTGGGGGTGGGGGGAGGAATAAAAACCCAACCCCGAGCCTCTGTCTTCTCTGAAAGCCAGAGCAAATGGACGCAGGGACTTGGCGGCCGGCGCGCCGAGCGCCAGCCCGACCTTAGTTTGTAACTCCAGGAGAGGTGCCAAGGCGCGGTCGGCTCGGGCTCCGGCGGCCGCTCGGCGCACGGTGGCGGCTGGTGGCGAGGAAAAAATGGGCCATTGCCCGAGCGATCAGTCCATATAAGGCTGGGCTCCACTCACGAACCTGGGGAGGGGGGAGGGGGAGAAAGAGGGAGGGAGGAAGGGAAAGAGAGAGGAGGGAGGGGGCGCGAGAGAGGGAGCGAGAGAAGGATGGAAAAAAGGGGGGGGGGGAAGAGACATTAAAAAACGCAAAGGTTGGCCACGTGTGGGCGGGTCTTGGGAGTCAAGTGGATGAAGACAGTATTTGCAGATGTGAAATTGTGGGTTTTGGGGAGCTCCGCGCTTCCAGCCAACGGCCCTCTAGAGCAAGATGAGAGGTGTAACGTGTCAATTAATTGCAAAGACGGGGAGAGCCTTTTTTTTTTAACCCAGTATTTACATACAAAGAGCCACCGCGTTGTTCTGGAGACCACACACTTGAAAGGGCCGTTTTAACAAATTGCATCTTAAAAAGAGATGCGGGGAGGGGGCTGGTAGAAAAGAAAACAGGAACCTGAGGAGGAGGAGGAGGAGGAGGAGGAGGAGGAGGAGGAGGAGGAGGACGAGGAGGAGGACGAGGAGGACGAGGACGAGGACGAGGAGGAGGAGGACGAGGAGGAGGGGGAGGAGGAGGAGGGGGAGGAGGAGGAGGAGGAAAAAAAAATCCTCTTTAACATTTACCCGTTCCTACCTCTCACCCCTACCCGCCTGCCTGCCCAGGAGCTAGTCGGAAAATTGGCGATTTGTGGAGCCTTTGGAAAAGTTGGGGGGGGGGGGGGAGAAGGGGGTGAAAGCGAAGGCTCAGCCTCAAAAATCTTTCCTTCCCATCGCTGGTGGGTTCCCAAACAAGATCCGGTTCAAATGGCAAGAGCCCAACTTCTGTAAGCCTCCTAGGTCAATATTTTGGTTGAGGCTTAAGGATGAGTACTAGAAATGACAAGGCAAGTAATTGATTCTAGTTAACCGCGAAAGGACTCGAAATCCTGGAGAGGACTGGGCTCGGGGCGGGCCACAGACTCCAGCTAGCGACCCACCCCCCTCCAGCCACCCTTTATTTGCTAAAGACTCATTTATTTCCCTCATCTCCCCCCCCCCCTTTCCCCGCCCCCGATTTCTTTGCAGCCACCGAGGACTCGCAGTTCACTTTCTGCTTGGCGGGCGGTCCAAGAATTGGAGAGAACAAGGATTGTGATGCTCTAACTTAGGCCGAGTTGGGATCTCGGCCCAGCCTAGCTGCCTAAGGCCTCTGTAGCTACTTTCCTGGCGGTGGAGGACCGAGCACACTGGCCAGTTCCTTTTTTTTTTTATTTTTTTTTATTTTGGCCCTGTAGTGTCCCTGTCTGTCCCGGTACCCTCCCTCTCCAGCCAGCCTTAGCTTAAGGTGGAGCGGCGGGAACACAAGAGGGGCGGGATTGCAGCACGGGGCTGGGGGTCACGCTTCCAACCCCGGTGAGGACCCAGAAAGCTACAGGGGAGAAGTGGGCTTGAGGTGCTGGCGGGTGGGGGAGGCGTTTGTTCTACAGCCCTGCCAATCCTTTCATTTCTTCTCCCTTTGGACACCCCGAGAGTGCGTTCCAAGGATGGGGTCGCCAGCGGCGCTCCCAGTTTGCCTGGGGTTGATGTGAACTTTCCAACCTTCTCTCCCCCCCCCCCGCCCCGCTCCGCCCCCCAATCTGGGAACAGAACTTTCCTGGGACTGCGGTTCTCCGCGCTGGGGAGGAACAGGCATCGCCACCCTGACAGGTCCTCTGTCCAATTGAACTGTTGGGGGGGAGGTGTTGCTACCTGATGCTTGTTCGCCCCAAGAAGCATCTAGAAGGAGCCTAGTCTAGGGGTAAAGGAGGGGCAGAGCAGGTCGCTGGTGGGAGTCTGGGTTCTCCTGGACAGCCCCAAGCTGGGGCCGCTTAGCGCGGGGGAAGCGGAGGCCGCGCGGACGCCGGGTCCTCTCCGGCGCGCAGCTGCTTAGGCCACCAAGGCGCCCCTGCCACCCCCGGGTTGCCAACGCCGGGTGAGGGCGACTCTCTCCGAGCCGCTCAGCGGCTTTCTGCAGCCCTGGCTGCCTCGCCCCCAGTATGTGACGTGGGTGACAATGGCCCAGGTTGGAGCGAGCCCCTCGTCGGCGCGTCCTGGGTGGTCGGACCCGGGCAAACACAAATACAAACCGATTGCTAAGCTGCGGACAATGAGCGAAATGTAGACAAATGTCCCGCTCCCGTTGGAAGCCTTTGTCCCAGCTCGGTTTTTGCATTTATTTCAGTGGCGAAATAATACATGATTGACGCTCTCTTTCAATGTGTCCTAACTGTTTGGAATAAATCTAAGGTTGTTCCTAGTTGTCATGGCATTCAACCCTTTTCAATGGACTATCTCTTCATTCATTTCTGAATCCGTCCACAATATTAAGGAAACTCCTTCATGTTGACGCTCCCCAATTCCTCTCTTTCTCCTCCTACTTTTCCACCCCCTTTTTTCCCCCTTTCTCCCCTGTCCCTCTTTACAAGAAGTAGACACTGGTTTGAAACCATATTCCTCAACACATTGCTTGCATGTCTTTTACTATTATTTCTTTTTCTTCCCCGTTTCTCTCTCTTAGCTTCCCCTTCGGCCCTCCCCCACCCCTCCCCTCACGTGGGAGCTCACTGCCCTGCCCGGGCTTCGCAGGCAAGTCGCTTTTTCTAGTGGTAAGGGAAGCTCTCAGTTTGGACACAGAAGCAGGGGTGGGCCTGCCCCCAGCCATTGTTACTCAGATGCTAAATAAATAGCTGGTGAGAAAAAGTTCCTCAACCCAAGCATTGCAGAAAAGACCTCCTTTTGTTCCTCTTCTGTCCTAAGGGAGGAGGGGGATGCTTTCTTGGGGGACCAGGACAGGCTTCAGGGATACGGCCTGGGGCCAAAAGAGAGTATGGTGGTTAGGCGAGGCCAGTTTCTTGGATTGAGTGGAAAAGTGGTCCTTTAGAAAGAAGTGTCCTGTTTTGAATATGTCTAGAACCATCTTTAGATACGTGTGTGTGTGTGTGTGTGCCTTCCAGAGCTAGCTCCTTTCCATAGTTTAAGCCCACCTAGTTCTCTGTGGTACCCAACTTCTCTCTTCTCCAAGCCTGGTGGATCTTTCTTCTTCCTTCTGCCATCTAACCAGCCTTGGAAAGGAGCTTACAAGGTGTGCAGAGCACAGAGAAGACACAATTGATTTTCTACTGGAATCTAGGCTCCTGGGAATTAATTGTAGGGATGGAGTGCTGGTTGAAGTGCCTTGCGATGGAGGTCTCCTATCCAGTTCACAAAGTCTGGGTTTGCCCCACAGCCTCCCCTAGGGTTTAAGTCAGACGGAACCCTTCCTCATCTCGGTGTGCAGGACCCTCTTCCCTCAGCAGCTGTATGGGACTTCCCTGGTGAGCACAGCCCTCCACTGAATGTGTCTCCCTTCCCTCACTGACTCTCCCCTAGGAGAGTGGGTCCAGGTTTTTCCTTGCTCTGGCCTTGGGACAGCCGGGCTGGGACAGCTCCTGCCCTGCCCACAAGTGTGGTAGCCAGACCTACAGGGCTAGGTCTCATCTCTCCCGGGACTTCTGCGAGTTCATTTCCCCCCCATCCCTACCAGGCCAGTGTGGTTCCTCGCATTGCTTCCAAAGCGTTAACATTTGCAATTGAAAAGGCAAAGGGAGACCGCTGGGAGGCTCATAATTGCAGGGGAGAAACTGGGCTTGTTAGTGGAAGATCATAAAATACAACTCCCCCAGGAGCAGCCTGGGGACGCCAAGAGGCCCATACAGGCCCAGCTGGTGGCCAGCGGGTAAGTCCCGTGCCTACATCCGATGTGCCTCTCTCCTACTACTAGGTTTCCTCAATTTTGTGGGCCAGGCTCAGGGCTGGAAGGCCAGAGGGGTCAGGCATTAAATGCACCACTTCTGCCCAAATTAAACAAGTGACTGATGCTATGGATTCTGAAATAGGCTTTCCTCAGAGTGCCATAGTCTGGCCTTTGGGGCCTCAGGATCTCCTTTTCCATGGAAATCAGTATACTCAGCAGCCTGAGCAGACCCAGTCCCTCACTCCAGCCCCATTGCAGAGTCCTGTATTAATGACCCCCTCCACCCCCACCCTGTCAATCGAATAGGAATAAGCATCTGCCGGCACCAGTTTCAGCTCTACATAGATGTGCACTGGGTCATGTCCACTTGGAATTCTTGAGGGAGGGTGGGCATTGTCCCAGGCTCCATCTGGTTTAACTTTGGGCTGCTTAGCTGCTGTGGTGAGGTGAGCTCAGAGCTTCTGTACTGTGTCTTCTCCTTCCAGGGGAGGAAGTTGGGGGTGAGTGCTAGAAAATTGGAACCCAGCTCAATTCTGAAGCCACGTTTTAACTAGGGGAAGATCAGCTCAGTATCTCGTTAGTGTTCTGAGCAACACACACTCCTGGCTGGGGTTAGCTGAAGAGCTGAAGCCATTTCCAGTCAGCCCTTGGTCTTCATCCTCAGCCTTGGGGCTCCAGGTTTAGTTATACCAATATCTAACTAAGCATATTTTCCCCCTGAACTTAGTGGGGGAGGGGGGTTTGTGTGGGAGTCACAGGCTGGCTAGGGGAAGAAGACCTTCCTCTCCAGAGACTAGGGACTCTT